TTTTCTATGATCTTGAACTCCTTAAACCTTTGACACATAAAACCAAAATGATTGCAGAGCTATGCACCAGTAGGGATAAATGGAACTACGTTACTTCATCAGTGTTGTATCACTGAGCCCCTGTACCTGTCTTCATGGCCTTTCGACCAGCCATGTAGTGTGGGTGGTTGAAGTCAGAGACCCAGGCTTTGGCTCCGTGGCCCATGTACACGTTCAGTTTGTTGGGGCTTCCCAGTTCAGCAAACTTCTTCTGCAGATGGTCGAGAACCTAGACAACAAAAAATAATGTTATGAGTGAAATCAAAGCAGCAAAAAGATGTTTAACAAAAGTACACAGTCCAAACCCAAGCGAAAGCCGACTGAGATTTTGTCTTTCAAAACAAAAAAAACTCTCTTCAGTGTCAGTCTAAAATACTCCTCTGCAGACATCATCAACATGTAGAGGGATAAATTGTGAAAATGAAGATGCAGGAGAAAAAAAAAGATTAAATAGATCAACTTTGCAGTCTTTTTCAGTGTCTAATAGCTTTGTGGTTTGAAACACTGGACACATTTAGGCTTCATTATGAATCTGCTTTACCAGTAATGTTGTTTTTGGGAATGAAAATAAAAAAAACAAAACGTGACTGAGTAAGTCAACTGTGTGACACGCTGCCCCTAAATGAAGCAGGCGGTTGGGCGAAGTCATCAAGTATTAATTTCAAAACCGACTTTTACAATACTGTGTGCACATGACAAAGCAATCAGAATCAGCTTCAGGTGTTTCTGTGTCTACCTGCTTCTCCACAACTTTGGGGTCCATGTCAGGGACGAGGCGGATGGAGAACTTGCCGATGACCTTGCGGGGAATGACAGTCTTGGCTCCTGCTTCAGCGAAAGCTCCCTCGATGCCATGAAGAGACAGAGATGGGTACCTCCAGCGGTGCATCAGGATTTGTTCCTAAAAAAAGGATAAAAAACATGCTTTACATATAACAGAGCACATTTGGACCAATAAGTGATGTCGGCAGCATGAAATGTCTCCTTGCCTTGGTGTCGTGCAGCAGCTGCCCCACTCCCACATCTTTGCAGTACTCATCCAAGTCAAAATCAATCTTCTCATACAGCTTTTTCTCCTCGTCTGTCAGAGGGGCCACGTCTTCGTACATACCAGGAACCTGAATCTTGCCCTTCCTGTCAACCAGGGAACCTGCGGAGTGGCAAACATGAGATTAAAATCCCCAGCAGTTCAAAGAAAGGCACATTAGTCACAATAGTCTGCATCTGAGGCTGCACTCAGCTCAGCCATCAGCTTCACGTACCCATAAGTGCAATGAGGTCGGTCATGGCTTCATGAACGGAGCCGCCAAACACCCCAGAGTGCAGGTCCTTCTCGCAGCAGGACACCTTTAAAAGGAAAATATGGCGTTACTGTGCTGCATCAAAACATGTGTTAAAGCTGGAGTACAGTTATGTCATTATGAAACAATGCTTCAGGCTGGTTTTGCCACAGTTCAACTCAATATGCTGGAAAGTAAACAGCAACAAGACTCTACCTCAACGAAGAAATAGCAGATTCCTCTCAGGCCGTAGGTGATGCAGGGTTTGGTCTTTCCCAGCCAGTAGTTGTCAGAGATGCAGACGTAGTCGACGTCTTTCAAAAACGTGTCTTTCCGAGCAAACACCAGCTCGTCCAGGCCCTCAGATCCAGATTCCTCCATCCCCTCGAAGCAGAATTTGATGTTGATGGGAAGCTCCTGGAACATGAAGCGAAACTCTATCAAATGCGTCATCATCAGGCCTCAGAAGGATGGTCGGAGGTCACTGATTTAGGTTGAAAATTAGGGTCATTTTTAAGCTCTACATAAGAAGAAATCTTTCTACATATCATTTGGAGCGTTTGGTAAATAACTTCCTGGGTGTGTTGACTGTAGCTCCCTAATCAAGATCCGACGACACTGTGATCTTTCCTCAGTTTTACCTGTCCGTTAGTGTTTGAGGGAAAAGTAAAGGTGAATGAAAGCAGCATGCCTCGGTTTAATCATTACACGCTCGCTGGGTGAGACATGGAACAAGACGGCCAATTTCATCCCTGGACCTTTGACCAGGATCAGTGCTGCTGACAGCGCTAACGTGAGCAACAATCAAATCAGAGGTGTACTTTAACACAGAGATAACCTCTTTCTTACATAATATTAAAAAATAAACTCCTGAAATGAGATGTTCTATATCTAAATATATCATATTGTTAGTCTTTGTTCAGCATCAGCTTATCCTTTATTGTGCGTCAATAAATAGTAAACATTTTGTCCTGAATCCAAAAGATTCACATCTTTTAGAGTCATTTCCATAAAAAACACATAAAATTATCATTATCATGATGTATTGTTAATGTTTCCAACAGTGCCTTTCTTTCAATAATGTCCAGACTTAAAGATAGCTGGATATTTAATATTATGTAGGTAAAGATAATTACTTTATAATCATTAGTCGTATTTTACTTTTTTGTCTTGTGTGGCAGTTAAAAAAAATGATGAAAACATCCTGCTACACGTCTCTTCTGGTTGAATGTGAAACTGAAGCAGTACAAGCAGTTGTTGCATTTTGAGAAATTAATTGCAGGTTTGTAGATAAAGGATGCTACGTAACCCAAACTTAATATTTTTGTGTTTTGTTTTGTTTTGTTTTGTTTGTGGGGGGAATCGCTATTGATCTGGTATATATATTTAAAAAATAATAATTTAAAAAACTGAAGATGGTCTTTATAACATAAAATAAACACACCATGGTCATTGCACGTCACTCAAAATAACCGGAGTCTCTATCTAGTGGTGTTATGTGCTGGGGGCACAACCCTGTTCCTCCCTCACTATTTTCTGTTGGAGCTAGTTTTGTATATATTTAAGTTCTTCCAGGTGAGCATATTTAGTTATTGTGTTTTATTGTTTAATCGGTGGAGTTACTGCTCTGCCTATAAACAGGCTGGCTTTCTGAGCGTTGGCTCGCTCTTGCTCTTGCCTCTGGTCCTGCTCACCTCACAGGCTCCACCTTGATGCCTCGGACCTGTGCGCTCTCCCGACTCCAGCTGACACGCTGTCAGATTCCCTGATGCCGGGCTGGCATCTTTTGTTTCAGTTTTTTTCGTTTGACCTGGTGGGATCGTTCACCCTTGCGGCTTGGGCTTAGTTTGTGTTTCTCCTGTAGCTCGGGTTCAACGGCCCTGTCTAGAGTTGGCCAACGAGCTTTTCAACAACCCGCTTTGAAAACAACAGAAGGCGTCTCCGTTAATGTGTGCAATAAATGGATCCAACTTCTTGTTACTTCCAGTAACTTCTAAACAAAAACATTCCTTCATCCCCAACAGAGCGCAACACCTCTGTGTGATTCCACGTCTCCATTCAAACAGCACCGTCAGTAAAGTCTGATCAAGTCTGATGTTTTCAATCCCCATTCAACCACACCTAGCTTAATATATGTATATTACAAACAAAGGCATTTTCCTTAGATAGAACAGAGAAAGCTTCGTTTGTGGGCGTGTGAATGGGCAGCAACGGTAACCGGGCTTAAAGTGGACTCTCTGATTGTTTTTTGTTTTCTTTTTAAACATGCACAGAGTTTTAAATCTCATTTTTCATTAACAGCGGGGTAACATTTTGGCAATAACTGTACCTGCTGGATCTTCTGATAGGCCTCAATGCAGTTAAACCAGGCCAACACTGGTCCCTTGTCATCAGTCGATCCTCTTCCATAGAGCTTACCTACAAAGAGAAAGAAGCATTCCAGCTTATATGTTCACATCTTTCAAGGTAATCTGATGACACAAGTTATTGTTTAATGAAAAATAAGAAAATTACAGTAAATGTAGTTTAGTTTGAGTTCATTAAATCATCATTGTGCCACCAGCGTGGCTACGGATTTGCTTAAAGGCACATTTTCCATTGACTAATATTCAGATAAGAAATCCTCGCACATGATCAAAAGTCAGAGGCAGATCTATGCATGTCATAAACTGAGCTGAACCAGCAGAAATCAGACAGAAGGAAGTGAATGTAGTACTTTCTGTCAGCTGACTATCACCAGTGTTGGCATCAGCAGCTCAAAAAATCCAACAAGACAAAAAAAAAAAAGAAGGAAGTAAAAAGCTGCTCAGTAATTGACAGTCTGTAAATGCTGATGTCACTGAAAATAAACAGTAAATATGTGGTTTATTAATGTGAAATAAAACAGTCCTAATCTAATCTGCTTTATCTGACAAGTACAACAGTGGAGAGGGAGGCTGACTGGGTCAACTTGTGTTAATGTATTACACCTGGTTACGAGGTTTATAGGAGTTCATACACAGAGTCGAGCTCTCCAACAAATAAAATGATCCTTGTGCAGTGTTTGTGTGGAGTCTAACCATGCACAGGCACCAGTTCAGCAGTTTTGTGATGGCTTGGTCATGCAAAACGTGAATAAAATCACTGAACACAGAGCCTCACTTGAGCCTTTCTGCCTTTTGAGAAGCTGAGCGCACCGATGCATCTTAAAACAACTGCACTGCTTCAACTAGAACGGTGAGGTCTGCAGATAAGACAAGAAAACAGCTTGAACCTCCAACGTGAGGTGAACAGGCTGGACTTTGGAAATCTGTAGCCAGCTGTGATATGACCACAACCACAGAGCTGATAAAAGCTGAAGGAGCATTTAAATACAAAGCTTCACTTCAGGAATGATGATGATTTCAAAAACAACTTCTCTGATCACCAAAGAAGAAGCCTGGAAGTGTCACAGTGACACATAAATGACAGATTTACAACCGTTAATGACACGTTTTGGTGCTAACCTACTGGTTTTATGCTAGTCTGTAGCATCCTCCTTGCTAATTTCTTGTCTGGGACATGTGGGTTTATTTTTTCAGTGAGATTTGATCCTATAAGTTTGCTCAGTCAAATAAAGAATGTATCTGTTACAACTTAGACTGAAACAGAAACCTTGAACTTAATCGCATCCCGTCTCGTCTTGCGTACCCAAGCAGCATTCCGATCTACTGAATAACTCTCCAGTAAAGTGGTTTCGTTTTGAGCTGCCCAACTTTCCCAGATCATATGAAAACAGCTCCAAGGTTACTTTGCAGGGAACATTACCAAAACAAGAGCAGAAAAAAAAAAAAACTCACCATCTTTTTCCACCAGAGTGAAAGGCTCTGTGTCCCAGCCGTCGTCGATGCTGGCTGGTTGGACATCGAGATGGCCGTAAATACACACCGTCTTCTTGCCCGGGTCTGACCCCAAACGTCCCAGAATGATGGGAGGCAGGGGGATCTCCTCTCCAGAGGGAAGCTGCATGAGGAACACTTAGTTTGAGTGGAGGGTACGGTTTGCAATGAGGACCTATTCTATGAGATATGCGAATTACTAACTGTTCGTCCTGTTAAGCAAACAAAACAGCGCAACACGATCATGCTCACCTTCTGTGTGCCGATGTCCACCAGTTCCACCGTCCCCCCCAGCCTCTCTATGTCCTTGGCTGCCATCTGCATCATCTTCTTGATCTCGCCGCGCTTCTCGGGCCATGCAGACACACTCTGGACGCCCACCCACTCCGCAAGGCGCTGCGAAATGACAACATTTGTGAAAACTCCTTAAGTCTTTACAGAAAATACAAACTGTGTTTTATGCTTTGCTCCAACTGTAAAAAGTGGAGATGGGGGAAGCATTTCTCTGCACATCAGGGCTTCCACAAAATGTGCAGTTAACATATGACTGACTTCATGAGGTCACCTATTTTGACATTGATTACATTTGGCACATTTACACTGCTGCTTCAAAACACACTCAAATTTGATCAAGAGAAGACACACATTTGGGTACAATCCAATCACCACAATGCTTAGTTGACTTCAATAGCAAGAGGTCTGACGAGGACTAAAGTCACACTGAATTATCAGAATGAGCTCACCTTCACATACAGATCCTGATTCTCGTCCACATACTTGAAAAGCGCCGTGAGATGAGCCATTTTTGCCAGCGACAGGAGCTGAGGGTTTAACAAGCAGAACGGTGTAAACGCACCTCGAAGCCTGTGTACTATCTTATAGGACGACAAAGACCACGCCCACCCGCAAACCTGCTGACTGCAGCTGTATTGGTAGTTCCTCTGTCATGAACACAAGTGGCGTGAGTGACACACAAGCACGTTTCACATCAAGAAGTCGAGCTTTGCAAAACTGTAGCCGCAGCTGACTGTGGCTTTTCAGAATAATATGGAGAGTGACTGTCTGGACCAGAAAGGCCTCGTGTTAGGAAGTTACACATAGGAGAAAGTTCAACATCATTAATTTCAGCTGTATCTGGGGAACATACCCAATTACTGAAAAAGCCACAGAAATTCACTCAGGGTGGTTGGACTGATGTGTTTCGTGGTTCAGTCACAGAATTTTTCCTTAAAATATTTCACTGTGTGATTTGAGCAGAACTTAAAATGCAGATCCAACATGGGAAAATAAGCTCTGAGGTCTGTATAGACACAGGAAATGTTTATATCATTAGAAAAAAAATGGTATACTTACTATTTACATGTAAATATGTTATTGGAGCCATGTGTGAAACTTGTGTGTCAAATGTTATACTAATCACCAACTATTTAGTGAAGTTAGAAAAGGTTTTAGGGTTTTTTCAGCACCGTAAATCTGAATCTGGTTTATTGCTTCCTCTGTAAGAATAAACAGAATTTCTTTAGGTTGGAGACAAAACAAGACATTTGAGGATGCAAAGACAACTATTGGAAAAAGGAAACAATGGTTAGCTGCAGCCTTGGACTTACTACATCTGTGCTGTAATTCAGTATCTTCCATACTTCTATTAGGACAGCATCATTGTCTTACATAGTTGTTAGAAAGTTTTGTGCAACATGTCAAGTGACACAATGGCCTGCATGTGATGTAAACATGAATCAGCAAACTCTGCAGCAGCCCTTTGTAATGACACACAGCTAATAAACAGACCTCCGGGAGCAATGCAAGGCTGGAAACTGAACTGGCACTAACTTGGCTTGTAGGCAGGCCTGTTGAGTTGGTAGCTGAGTGGAGACAGAGCAGACTGCAGCTATGATGCTAGCTGTGATGCTAACTGCCTGGCTAGCAGCAGCAGCTGGGTGACACAACATGACAGTGTTGGGCAACTAGCGTCCCCTGACACACACACACACTTTGCTAGTTTCTGAAACGCATAAAAACAACCATTAAATAACCTGTTATGTTGTGCAGCCTTACTTCGTTTTATTCCCGTCCAGCTGATGTCCACATGTGACTCTTCCCCCCTGACAGACACTTCCTCTGGCTGCTAATGAAGTCTGTCGGCCAAAGTTGAAACCGTGACGGTTTATGAACAGCTCAGCAGTGGAGGCTCCGTCTGCTTCTTCTTCTTTGAATAAATTCCCGTCGGGCTCTTTATTGCAAAACGAAATGCTGCCCTCTATAGACAATTGCTGTTTATTTTGTATTCTTAAATAAGGGTCCGGTTCTGTGAAGAGTTCAAAAGCTGCTCCTCATATAAGTTGATGATCACCGGCGGCTGTTAGTGTGTTTATAGCGCAAAGGATTGTGGGTCATGAGCAGGTGCCTCGTCATACGGAGACATTTTAAAGAGGAGAGTGGACCCGCCCGGTAAATCTACGGCGGTAAACCGGGCTAGCAGTGCTTCTGCTAACCCTTAAAATGCATTTAAATCATTTTACCGGTGGGAGGAAAACTGTTTTTGGATGTATGTTGATGTAATTTCATAGTACAAATAAATATTAGAATAGACCTTTTTTTATTTTAAGTTAGCTGTTTAGTAGTATGGAGGATTTTCCATCAATTTGAATTAAAATAAAAAACATTTTTATAAATTGTCCATGAGTTAATTACTTTTTCTTTTGTTTGCTTTTTGGATGTATGTTGACATAATTTCATAGTACAAATAAATATTAGAATATACAGGTTTTTTTTAAGTTAGCTGTTTAGTTATATGGAGGATTTTCCATCAATTTGAACGAATAAAAAAAAAAAAAGTTTTATAAATTGTCCATGAGGCAATTGTTTTTTTTTGTTTGTTTTAAAAGGGAAAGACATTATATACAGAGACGCCAGATAAATGTGAGCAGTCTGAGTTTCACCAAGTCCTATATGGAAACAGAACGACCATAGCTGAGGAACTCAAAAATAAAAAGTTTAATTTCTGAGCATGTAAAACATTTGCCTAACCACATGTGTTGCTTATACTATTTTAAAAAATGGGATCTCTACTCATAATCTATTGATGTGAGACACTGGATTTCTTATTTTTATGAGCCATAAGCTGTAATTATTAAAATTAATACAAAAAAGCTTAAAATATTTACTTTACATGTTACAAATTTAAAACATGAAAGTTTACATTTTTAATTTTAAAAAATGAACTTTTTCAGAGAGAGAAAAAAAGAAAGTTCTGATCCACAAATCTGTCTTTAATTTTCAAGTTCAAGCTTGATTTGAGTGTGCTTGGTTGTCTGTCTCGAAGTGTAGCCCTGTGGTAGACTGGTTACCTGTCCAGGTGAACCTGCCTTCACCCTGAGTCAGCTGGGATAGACTCCAGCCCCCCATGACCCTAGTGAGGATTAAGCGGTGTATAGATAATGGATGGATCTTTCCTCTTGAATACGAGATAGTGGATCATAGGAACTTATATTTAAATCAAAGTCACTGTTTAACTCTGAAATGTAGCCCCAACTAAACGCAGCTTTTGTTCACATGTCAGAAGCCAAAAAGGTTGGTAGCCACTGTATTAATCTTTAATGTGTTGTTAAATGATGCACTAAAAGTAGCAGCATGAGATGGAAAGACTTAGTATACACATTATTTTACGTCTCAAATTGTCTCCATGTCCTTCAGCTTCTTTACTATTAAGAGCAAGATATTCACTACCGTCTGGATTATGAAATATTTGGCGTTTATAATGTGAACCTTGTTTCTCCAACAAGATATCAGCCCTCTTGTCTATTTGCTGGTGATGTTTCCTGAACATGACATTAGCTATGCTGCAAAAATAGTAAAACCGCCATTTCTCCAAGTGTAGTGCCACTGTGAGGTCAGAAATATATATCTGATCATTCTGTAGCTGTAAAATGTTCTAAAAACCTCAAACATGGAGAACTCAAGCATGACTCAGAAAGACACCATTTTAGGACTTGGATTCAATATTATCCAATTTAAGCTCCATAAACTATTTTGCAGATGTACACACATTCATATCCCCTCATTTTCACATCAGTAATTAATTTTGTGGCTACATTTTTTTTTTTAAAACAAACAAAAAAAACACAGCGGCCCACGTATCTTGTATTCTAAAAAAAAATTTTATTTTATTTTCAGTTCAATCACATTCAACAGATCTTCAAATCCTCACGATGTCTAGAAGCAAAAAATAATTTGATTAGACATTTAATTAAGTCCACACATATGTGCAAAGTTAAGAGACTCACTTTTCCATCAAAGCATCGCTCTTCACAGGTCTTTTCTGTTGGCCTACAAACTTCTGCAGAGCACATGAAACAGATCTAAAAGGGAAAAACAAACATAAATAATTTTTCACAGTCAGACATCCTGCTGGAAGTCCAGCTGAGCCACAGTATAGATTGCTCATTCATTATTATTATTAATGGAGGTTCACGATATTATCTTATCCTGTGAAATAGTTTAAACATCAGGCCTCAATCTCTGTTTCAGCTCACCTCTTCGTCTAGATACTTATTTGTCTTTTTCTCCATAAACTGGAAGGCAGTCACGACGAAGCGTCTTTGATGGCGATTCTTGGGAAGGTCGCTGACTTGAAGGATGGACACGTGTGGATCATGAGGGTTTGCACACCTGCAGACACAAACTGTCCGGTTATAGGGGAAGCTGGACCCAAACAGCTACACAGTGGATTCACACGGTCGCACTTACCCTTCGTAAATAAGCACCAGAGCGTTCTTTGCAGAGCGAGGATAAGCAAGGCAGTAGTTGACAAGAATTACTGCGTCTGGTTTGGGAGACTTCAGTCGCAGTTCGAGATAAACAGGTTTGCCGAGGAGCACTCGCAAGGGCTGATGGTAGGTGGGATAGAAACTTTTATACGTTTGATCTGTGGGAATTAAACAGACAAGGGACAAGGTTTCATTGACAAATCTTGTGTTTAATGTCACTGCAGTCAAATTAAACAAGATGGTGTGTGTGGTATCTGATGTTCCACATCATCGGTTTATGATTAGAGTCCCCAGGTCAAAGGTTTCATCTAGATCTTGGAATTATGGGCCTTTCAGATGTATAGTTAGAGTAATCAGGTTAAAATGGCATCTGGAGGGTTGTCACATTATCTAGAGGATGTTACTCCCATTAGGACAGGAAACATAAGTCCATCATTCAAGTAAATCCCTTACGCAAGCCAGTGGTTAGGGTTGGTCTAGACCAGGGATCTCCAACTCTGGTCCTCGTGAGCTACTGTCCTGCAGGTTTCAGATGTTTCCGTACTGCAACACACCAGACTCAAACGAATGGATCTCCAACAGCTTGTTGTCAAGTCCTACACAAGTCTGTTAATGATCCATTCATTTAAGTCAGGTGTGTTGCAGTAATGTCTAAAACCTGCAGGACAGTAGCTCACGAGGACCGGAGTTGGAGACTGATTCTTTTTGGCTTCGAATCCTCTCACAGGCAAACCATGGTGTCTGAGATACTGTACTTGTTCCAATAAATTTAGAAACCAACAAGACTGTATCAGTGGAGAATTTCTTCATCATCTTCACATCATTGCTACTCAACAGGCGCATGCTGTAGTTTGCTGGAAAATAATGCAGGAACACTTGACCTGTAGCAATTTTCAACTCAACACCATATAAGCCTTTGGAGACGATCGATGACGGCAGATTGGAAGCTGGAGTTTTGACCATGTAGCCAACGGTGGCCAGTGACTGCTGAGCGATGCCCAGTCTGCTGTAGCGACACTCAATCAAGAACCTACAAGAGACACGTGTTAGAGACGATGCATTTAAGCAGAGCAAATAATTAACAGTAGAACGGTACTCATAGCTACTGACCTGAGGGGATTACTTCTTGTAATTACGCCATACTTGAGGTTCAGCGCTCGGACAATACTCTGCACTTCAGCCAGGTAGATCTTCGTCTCACCAACTTGCTGTCAAGAAAAAGTCAACTTTCCACAGGTCTCAGCTTACACAATCTAACTCAAAAAAGTTCTATTTTATCTCCATCCTAAGACTTAAGTAATAAACCCTCTCGTACTTAATCACTTGAGCTGTGGGATCAATTAAGTGTGTGAGTTTGTGATGGCTTTAAAACAAAAGCACTTGCCGACTTCCAAAAAAAAAATGCATTGCTATTTTTTTGGACTGGTTTCATTCAGTTTGAGCAAATGCTCAGCTGATATCTCACTTTATGACATTATAGTGTTTATGCTCAAACTACACAAAGCCAGGACAGCTGTGACTATCTGCCAACAACTCTACAAACATGCGATAAGTGATTTCTTCCCTTCACTATCCCAGTTTGGTTTTTGTATGTTTTGCAGCAGGACAACCACATTTATGTCACTAATTTAACTATGAACTCGTTCCTTAGAAAAGTCTGCAGATATACAGACTCACGGGAAGGCTGCATGATATCGTCAAAAAGCCTTCATGCAGGAACACACCTACATGTCGGTGAGGCTGGACTTCAGGCCACAGAAGACACCGACTGAGACAGTTTCCAAGACTGCCGGCATTCCTCAAACTTTAAACCAAACACCACATATTCAAGATGAAAGAGACGCGAGATCGCAAGTCGAGAAAGTTTGGATCAGTTTGTCATTAGACAAACTGGAAAGTATCTTATTACCCGATTAAACATCTCAAATCTGGATTGACTGAACAACCAGCTGGCAGCATGAAATTCTTGTTTTTGTAGATGCCCTCTGAAGACGTATTAGAGGAAAAACCATGTTTAATCTGGACCGTGAATGGCTCAACATCCTGAATCCAGTTTTGGACATGAACAAGGTGATTGCCAAGCTGGTGGACCCATTTCCCTCCTGGTAACCCAGAATAGGCCGAGTACCACTGAAGCACTAAACTCAAAACTTGTCAGAAATAAGGTGGAAAGTGCAGAATAAGAAAAAGGGGGACACTTACATAAACACGAGCTCCACATTCTGTAACTTTGAACTTGAAGATGGCCACCTTGTTGTTGAGAATAACTGGCTTACAGCCAGGATTCCCAGGAATAACCAGTTTGGTGGGATCCACGGGGATGGACGCAGAGTCATGGCGAATGGCAAAAACAAAGTGTTGATCCGCAGTGCACTCTACACATGGAAGAGGAAAAGAGTCACCATTAGACAAGGTTTCCATTATAGAATGAGGCAATATGGACGACTGAAACAATCGCCTACCATCCAGTGGGTAGTAGCAGGCAGATGTCTTGGAACAAGAACAACATCCAATCTTCTCACACTCTTGGGAAGATATTCCGTCAAAACCGCATGTCAGACGCTCTCCCATCGCAACATCACAATCTGAAAGGTAACATTTTAAACCATCTACTACCAAAGAAAAATTCACAAAAGTGATTTGATATCCCAATATTTATCAAACATCCAAAATTCAGTTTGCTGGTTTACACTCACTTTGCGCCTTTTGGGGCGTTGCTGGTTTCGGTGGCGTAGAGGTCGGGGCGCTGCACGTGGGTTTGCCACCACGAGGGTACAGGACAGGTTCAGCCAGTGTACTTACCCTACAAGATACAGTAGAAACTTGCAGCCGATCGAGCGCGTCGACGTGCAACAACTGCAGACTGTAGCCATTGTCCTGAAATGATTCAAGGTAAGCAAAATGACGTGTTTGTTACTTCTGAGGATAAAGAAATCAAATTACTGCCCAAGAAAACCATTTTTCAGTAACCTACAAGTTGTTTCACATTGCACCCACTGAAGGGTACAGTGAAGGCGTTATTGAAAGGGTTCACGTCAAAACCACAAGACTTGTCAGCCTCCGTGACAGACAGCAGATCCTTCGAGCCTACAGAGAGAAAATACATCCTGGAAATTTGATGACACTCATTCAGCAAAAGTGAAACGTCTTTGTCAAAAGGCCAAGTACGTACCCAACACTTGAACCTCGCTCAGCTTGCCTGTTCGCAGAGTGATGTGGAAGCCAGCATCACTGCAAACAACATCTACTTCAGTAGAACTTGGACTGATGCTGCCACTCCAGCTCCTTAGAGGGGACTCTACAAACTCCACCCCGTAATCACTTTCGGCCCAGATTCTTGGACCAGGATCCACTGCGTCCACTTCCAATCCATAGTCAGGAAACAGGTCAAAGGAGTCCCCTTCAGTTTCCAGGGCAGTTTTCTCCGGAACTTCATCTTCATCTTCATAATTGTCATAGTCATCGTCATCTAGAGGACAGGGTTGATCTTTATTTATTTTTTAAAGTGATGTCATTATAATAACTCTGGATAAAAACATGCCCAGAAAGCAGAATATTTGTAAAAACCAAGTCAGAAGTGATGGCGCTTCAGTTGATCTTGCAGGAGCCAAAAGAAGACCACTGGTTAATATGCAATAATCATTTTCATTTCATACTTGTTCCATTGTCAGACAAGAAAATATGTCAACTGAACTGTTTTATTGGGAATCCAGCTGTAGTAAAATGCAGTGTGTTACAAACAGATGTCAACACTGTCCGAGTTTAGTTTGCACTGAAGCATAACAGGCGACATGAAAACACAGTAACCCAGCAGTCCTTATTTGTTGGTTTCAAATTGCTCTCAAAGTTTCCAATCATCTCTGAATGCCCCTCAGTGTTAGGATTACAATCAAAACTAGTGGCATGTTAGCTGCACAATGTGCTAACCCTCATAATTTCCCTTCTGTTGTGGGGACATTGCCATCAAAAAATAAAGTAATCCACTGGATCTTCAGTTCCTCAGATTGCTGGGAGTGCATGAAGACTGTTGTGTTCACTCTTGCAGTCAACAGCAGAACATTTGGTTTGTTCTGCTCATGGCTGAGACATTTCAGAGTTAGCTGAAGCAGCCCTAGAAAGGAAATAAACCTGGTGGACTGTGAGGCAGCTGCTCATTCTGAGTGGCTTGCCTGGAAGCAGCAAGCAGGTAGGTGGCAGAATTATGCAAAGCTAAAGTAGATGATTACTGGTATCTCAGAACTTAGCACCCAAGGAAAATTCTTTGACCTTACACCTTAAAACAGTAACAGTGGATTTTTACCATTTGGTGCCTTTAACATGGGTTAGCATAAATTTTTACTTTGTTCAAGTCCATGCATGCATTTTAAGTATTTAGCTAATGAAATTGAAAACACAGCCTGAGCATATACTGTGAGGCTTAAAGGACACAACTTAAGGCCAAGTTAAGGTTCAAACAGTTCGCAAAAGGCAGCTGGGAAGGTTAAAGTCAGACAAGCAAAGAAGAGTTTAGAAGAATTAGAATTACATAGATTGAGCCTTTAACTTAAACTTCAGTAAACAGAGGCCCAGTTGAATTCCTCTGCTGACTGCACCAGCAGGTCTTTGTGGATGCAGACATGAGGAGGAATCATTGGAGAGTGGACACACCTGGACTGCTTTACCTGGCTCTGTAACGCTCACTGCTTCGCTTAACCGTCCGCTCTGGAACAAACTGTGAAGCTGAGTTTCGTTGATCGGCTCCCATGCCTGGACCGACACCAGCAGTAGGGTCACAGTCAGAACCACCAGCAGCAGCAGCTCGACCCAGCGCCCAGCCATCCGACAGAAAGTGCTCATGCAGCCACTGAACGCCGACTTTCGCCCCGCTACAAGTACTCAAGGCTCAGGCTAATTGATCGCACCTGGATGATGTGTGGGCGGGAAGCCTGCCTATTTATGCTCTGATCAAGGGATACGCTTTAAAATATATAAATACTGCCCAGGATTTTACCGTCACAGTGTATATTATTTATTATGTAGCTTAAGTTAAGACTTACAAAGATATCGACAGAAAAAAAAAATCCTAAATCTAGTTTAAGCATAAATCTATTCTTAGTTTTGATTAAAATATGTGTCAGACCAAAAATGTAGCTTCCTAGATTTCCCAGTTTTCATTAACTTGAAAACAAAATGGTCTCCTTTTTGTGTACATATTTAGCTCACACGAAATAAAAATCTGTAAAAAAAAAAAAAAAAAGAAGAAGAAAATTTGACATCAAGTTTATTGGAATAAATAGTGGAATACTGTAATGTTCAAAAACTGTGAAAATGAAATAAATACATAAAAAATAATCAATCTGTTGATTAATAATTCAGCTCAGCAATACTGTACATTTACCAATTATTATCTATAATTTAAGAAAATACAGTTTCCTTTCACATAATGCCAAATATCTGGGGAAAAAAAGTTAGACTTTTGGCTGATTTAAATACAGTAAAACTACAATTTTACAGTTACACTGTGCAAAAGAACAAATTACTATTTGTAATTAAAGCCGCAAGCGGCGATGGACGGGTCCTGGCCCGACACTTGTTGGCCTTCGCGCACGGCGGGGTGTGGCGCAAACGTGCTCTGGGCGGGACTCTGATCCGGCCTGTCGAGTTTTGACCAGGTCGGAGCACGTCAGGCGTATTTACGAGCCACTTCCTGTTTAGTGGCAAGCCACGGCGGCCTGCGTGTTGACCGTGGTGGAAATGCGCTCTGGCTGAGACTCGGAGCATATGCGTAAAGTTTCAGGACGATTGGAGCACATACAGGCCAGTTACACAGTATGTCTCATATTCTGGCATGGAAGGCGTTGTGGCCACGCCCTCAGGTGGCGTTGTGAGTGACAGTCGTCATATGTCTGTGATGACGATTAGAGTGTGATGCAACATGTGAAGTTTGAGAGCAATTGGAGCATGTATGGGCTATTTACACTTCACTTCCTGTTTAATGGCGAGCAGAGGCGGCGTGCA